CCTTCCAAGAGTGACTGGCTGCCAAGTCTTTTTACTCTTTCAGCTGTGTGATTGTGTGCGTCTGCTGAACTCTAAATTAAAAACTATTTAAACATTTTTTAACAAAATAAATTTATTTTTATATTTAAGCTAAATTGCCTTTGAATTCCTTCAAGCTTGGTTCATTGAGATGGTCAAAGTTCAAAGCCGTTGACTAGAATTTAGCTGTGTAGTCCTTGTCTGGCAAGGATGCTGCATGCAGGCTGAGAACCTGCCCCTGCCTGACAGCAGTTAGGGCTATCTGGCACCCAGCCATACAGCTGTATGTCCAGGAGGTGGAGGTGGGAGTGGAGGTTTGAAAGGCTGGCCTGCTAGAGGTCAAGGGGGAATTCTGACCCTACCAATAAGGAGCTTTCTCAGCCTCTCCCTGCATCCTCCTTGCTCAGGCAAGTGTTACATGAATTATTGCTTATTTTATAATGTGATGTATGTGGATGTGACTAAACTTTTTTTTTAATTTTTCCCTTGAGAATGAGGCTCTGGAGCTCTTGTATGTTAGACAGTGTTGGTTGTTGTGGGGTTTTTGTTGTTGGGTTTTTTCCTTTGTTTTGTTGTTTTGTCTTCCTACCGGGAAGAATGTACCTCTCCTGGCAGAGACGGGACTGGGTGCTGAATATTTCTGTGCTCTTGCAGCTGGCTAGTGGCTCCCCCTCAAACAGGGGCAGAGGGAAAGGAGTCAGCCTTCCTGCCCCTTGGAGGCTCATGGCTTCCTGTCACTGGGATCATTTTTAGCCTTCTTTCAGGTGACCATAGTTGTCATTATGAGGTGTGTGGTGATGCCCTCCCTGGGTTGGGAGTTATTCCTCAGTCATGGGAATGGCACCAGCCCATCATTCAGTGGAGTCTAGTTTCAATCCAACTCAAATACATGAGTGTTCCTGAAGTTTGGGAAATTTGGCTGAGGGCCTTCCTGTACACTTAAGACCAGTATCTGAAATTCTGCCCCCAAAATGCAGAGCTCCCATTCTTTGTTGCTTGTGTTTCAGTCTACTCTCAGTTGGACAGTAGCTGTACTTGCTGGAGCACAGTCTGGGAACCTGGTCTGCCATGGAGATGGCACTGGGGTAAGGTTCCTGCATGCTAGAATGGAAAGTTGCTGCCCTCCTGTGGTCTGCATGGGAGCACAGCACTTCCTATACCTCTGGAAAAGAAAACCATCCCCAATCTATAATTGAACAGAGATTGCTTATACTTGTTCAGCTAGTGTCTCACTGTAGCCCTAAGCCTTGCTTGGACTCTTCTGCAGCATTTGCAGAGGCTGTGAATAATCTTCAGGCTTTCTGAACAGCTTCTCACTTGCTGGCTTATGTTTGAACTGCTTCACTTGTCAGGAAAAGACTCATTTTTCTTGTCAAAGCCAGTGAAGAAAGACTGAGATCATGGGCTAGTACAGGTGTATTGCAGTCGGCTACTGTGGCTACTCACCTTGGAGACTGCTCCCAGACTGCCTGCTCCATGGTGATGGGCCTGCAAGGCTGGCCTTTTTTTTTTAAAACAAATTACCTTGTTCAGACATTCCCTGTCCACAGAAGAATACTGCCTTCGTGGTGCTACCCAGGCTTCCCACTTGTACCCTGGTGACTCCTGGCATTGCTAGACTAGAAGTGACATGCTGAGCACAGGACCCATGTGAGATGTTTCTACAAAGTGATTCAGGAATTGAAGCCATGTATTAGGAATTTTTACATCACAGCAGCCTGTACCATTAGATGTGCTGGATGCAGGGATCTTGCACAGACCTTTTGCTTTTCAGGTGTAGCTAGGCACCCAAAGGGGTTTTGTCCAAAGACCTCTTGGATGCTTGCAGACATTAAAAAAAAGTGCTTTGCTTTAAACTCAGCACATTTCTGCACCAAGTCCTGCACACGCCTAGAAGAGGCAGTGCGTTAGTTCAAGCCAGCTTGTCTGACATCTCTAAAGATTGGGCACTTTAGTGGGGCTTTTTTGGCACTTTTATCTAGTAGCTGATTGAATTAGCTTTAGCTAAAAGTGCCAAAAAGCCCTGCTGAAGCACCTAATTCTTACTTCAACCTGGTTCTGCAGCATCTGTAACACACTGCTGCTTCTGGTAAAGCTGGTTTTGGGGTTTTTTTTAACGTCTGCAAGCAGTGCTTGATTTTTAACCTGCTGTCTGTCTCGGGGCCCTGGATATCATCACATGCTAGCCTGGAAAAGCTCCACTGTAACTCCATTGCGGCAGGAGAGAGGTCATGGGCTGGGCAAGGCTGGAGCTTGTGGTCACCCTAATGAAAAGCCTCTGCATGTGGGTCTTTCTCTGAACCTGATTCTACCAGTGGTGCTCAACCTGACCTGCAGGGTCAAGTCATCCAGTCCATGGGCAGCCCTGCAGGCCAGATGTCAGCCCTTAATATAGGGCTGGGCCAATGTCTGCAGGATCTGGCCTTCAGACTGCCCCTTCTCATCTGGCCCAAAGCTTAAAGCACCACTGCTTTCATGACAGTCTTTGTACTCTGTGACAGAACCAAGGTAGGAATTGGCTTCAAGTAGCGCCACTCTGGTTGGAAGAATTCAAAGATATAATCCCAGAGACGGGCCCTACCTTGGGCTGAATGCTTGGCTTCTGGTGCAGAAGTGGGGCTGGGAGCTTCCAGTTGCAAAGCAAATTAGCAGTAGTTGGAGCTGCTGCTTTGCATGGAGGCTGATCTTGTGTTTCTATGTGTGGCCCTCCTTTTCTTTCTGAAGCCCCTAAATCCTCTGTAGTTGAGTTTCCACATCAATGCCACCCTTCTCTGGCCTGATTAGCAAATACCAAAGCTGCCCAGTGCCCAGCTCTTTCAGGAGCTGCTCAGCATATTGGACAGAAACCTTCTGCAGTCAAACTTCCCCTTCTGCTGCTTGTGAGGACTGTGCCATATGTGAAGGGTGAAAGTGCTGGGAGGTTGGGTTTTTAATGAAAAATAAACATGCAAATCATTTCTGGTGTGGCTGCTGAGGAGCTCTAGTTTGAATGTGTATTTTTCCTTGCTGCTTATGTCACTGGATTAAAATAAAAACAAAACTGCTCATGTCTACCTGTTACATCTCAAAAAGCTTTGTCCCCTCAACAGAGCTAGAGCCCTCCTACAGCTATCCATGCACACAAGGTGAAAAGGGCAGACCTAGCACTGGGAGCCACCATGTAAGTGCTCTTGCCTTTTGCCGATACAGCTTGCTTCCAGCAGAGAGTGACTTTTTCTCAAGCTGTTGCTACTCCCATCATAGAAGTGGAGCTGGAAGGGACCTCCAGAGAATCCAGCCCTCTGCCTGAGGAAGGTTATCCCTCTCCAAATTATCCTAAGACTACCATCAATCCTAACACAGCACAAGACATAACACCCTAACCTACCACAGGTAAAGCAAGGGGACTTTGGCAGCCAGTCCTGCTTCTATAAAATGTTGTTAATGTAAAAAGATCGCAGGTCGAGGGCCATACTCCCTGCTACAGAAGAAGGCAAAAAAAACATAGTCCATACCAATTTGGCCATGGAGTAAAATTGCTTCCAGACCCCAAATCTGGTGATTGATCTGATCTTAAGTGAAGGGACAAGACCCTCTAGCCAGGAACCTCTAGCTTCAGTCCCAGCAGATGCATTGGCACACCCCAGTCAAAATCCCCAGCCTTGCCAACACCCAGTGCCTCTGAGGAAATCTTAAAAACATCTTGACACGTAGCAGCCAGTAGAGGCAGCCAGCAAAGCCCAGAAGCATGGCAAATACCCATAAAATGGGTGGGCAATTATTTTGGGTGGAGGGCCGCTTACAAGTTTTGGCAAGCCATCAAGGGCCATATGACAGGCAGCCAGGGGCAGATAAATATTAAGATTTCAAATTTTGTAGGGGCCCTGCGGGCCGGATAGAATGGCCTGGTAGGCATGTGGCTTGCAGGCCACATCTTGCCCCCCCCCGCCGTAGAAGAACATGGGCATAGCTATGCTTAGATCATCCCTGACTAGTGACTGCCCAACCCCTCCTTGAATACCTGCAGTGAGATTAAGTCCGCAACTTCCTAAAACAGTCTTTTCCATTGCCTCATTATTCTAACCATGAAGAAGTTTGTCCAGCTATCTAATCTAAACTTACTTTCCTGCAACTTCAAGCCATTGGTCTGTGTCCTCTCTGCAATAAGAGAGAAAAGGTGTTTTCCTTCTTCCCTAAGGCAGCCCTTCAGGAGTTTGAAGACTGCTATCATGTCCCCTCTTAAGAGGCCTTTCCTGCAAGCTAAACATGCCTAGTGCTTTCAGCCTTTCATATGACTTGCTTTCCAAGCCCTTTATCATTTTTGTTGCTTGCCTCTGGGCCCTCTCAAACTTTTCCATGTCCTTTTAAAAATGTGGAGCCTAGAACTGCACACAACATTCTAGATGAGGCCTAACCTGTGCTGAGTAGAGGCACTGTTGCCTTCTGTGTCTTGTATGTAATGCTTCTATTGATGCATCCCAAAACCTCATTTTGTCTTTTGAGTGGCTGTGTCACTGCAGATTCATTGCGAGTCAGTAGCCCTAGCAGAAGAGACCTGGGCGTCTTGATAGATTACAATCTGGCCTGGTGTCACTATGGATATTTTTGATTAT